ATTGAAACTATTTACAATTAGTTTCATTCGTAATATTACTTTTAAAAAGCTTCGTAAAGACATTTTTTACAATATATACTACGACACATATGTGCACATATTATTAACGAAAAATATAAACAAATATGCACATATGTTCACATCACATTTTTCAGTCCACTCTAGATGCCACATCACGTGAGCGGAAGATTTTATATGATTGAGCTACATCATTTGTGGGATTACGACTGTTGGTTTCGAACCAACGGGAATAGTCGGGAACTATCGGGAAAGAAATACTGACTATCGGAAGAATTACTAACTATTGGGAAGAATTCTAACATAATAAAAATTAGATAGATAAAGAATACTTCATTGGTGTTTTCAGAGAATAATTTAAATAACATTTAATTTTCCCCATATAATACGTATCGATAATCTGAATCCTAATAAAACAAAATAGCGCTTTTCCCTATTAAACATAACAGATGAGTACCGAAATTCAAAAAGGAAATTAAAACAATAATTAGTAATCAAGTGGCATTGTTGCAATTTCCTTTTTTGAATTTCGGAACCCATCTATAAATTCAATTAACAATAATGATACTTATTTTGTTAACTATCGTTTGATTTTGTAACACAAGTTAATAATTCAATAAAGAAAATAATTACACGTAAGGCGTTAACAAATCCTATTTTAGAATGTCATATACTTTTTAAGAACTTATTAAAAATAATATATTACTAAATAAGGTTTATATAATACTTTTGAATCGATATTTGTTTTCAAAGAATATGTTTTACAATCATACAATGATATAGATCAGTTATAACCGGAACATAGTGTTTTACAAATTTTTTGAGTATTTTAGTTCACTCTTCATTGTATATAAAATGAAATAGTATTCTCATAAATTGTTATGGCAGATCCGGTCTATAGTTTTGAAAAAGTTGAAGATTTTTACTCAGGTTACGAATCTTGGTCGAAGCTCGGTAATGTGCTTAATCGCAATTATGATCCAAACGTTCGTACACTTACTTTAATTATTGAGAATGGATATCCTCAAGGCCAATCATGTTGTCTTCTTATTCAGCTGCTTGGATATAATGTTTTTCGCGTACGCTTTGACCCAAGTAAAAGAAGTTCTGATGAATATATTATAAATAACACCCGTGCAGTAGTTATGGACACATGGGCTGATCTTCAAAATGAATGGGGTCAATTTATCACAAACTTTAATGATGGTCAAGACACAATTAATATTGACACAATACACACTGATGGTATAACGCAATTCATGAGAATTGAAGTAAATCTTAAACCATTCACTATTCGAGTTTATCGATTTGAAGGTGGACAATTATACACAGTTTGGTCAACTAACGAAGAAATAGGATTACGTTGGATTGAAGTCAAAGATCAACTCAGTTCTAATAATATTGTAAATACTTTTAAAATCATTCAAGTTGTAAACAAACCTACAACTGCAAAATTCACAGGATTTGGTGAACATGGAGGTGTCGGTCTATTTAAAAATTCTCAACAACTCACTTTTTTCAATTATGATAATTATGGATATGGACAGGTAATAAAACATTATAATTTGTCATAAATATTATTATATATCTTCTTCTCACAATGAATTTTCATATTTATTTTTTTCAATCAGGTTTATGGTCAAGGACCTTTGGACCAACGTGAGCCTCTTTATCATTCAGACCCTTTTTTCATTGAATTCAATGGGGTTCCCGGAAAACAATCAGTCAATGGCATATACATTGATAATTATTCACTTATTTGTATGGATATTGGTTATGAAAAATCAAATAGATATATGTTTGGTATTAAATTTAGTGAACTCGATTATTACGTATTTGCTGGAAATGAATGCAAGGATATTATCAGTAGTTTCACAAGTCTAGTTGGACGTTGTAGGCTTAAACCTCGTTACGTTCTTGGTTTTCACCAGGGATGTTACGGTTGGATGAAGAGACAAGATGTTGAAGATACTCTTCAAGGATATCGAGATAACAATATTCCAATTGATGGTCTTCATATTGACATAGACGCTCAAAACAATTATGAAGTTTTTACATTAAATCCTATTAATTTTCCAAATCCTAAAGAAATGTTTGACAATTTAAGACGTAATGGTGCAAAATGTTGTACAAATATTACACCCATTATCAAAAAAGGTGATAACAATTATATGACATACAAAGAAGCTTTGATGAACGGTTACGTAATCTTAGATCGACGTACTCAAAGTTCTTCGGGAGATTTACTTCAACAATACTATGAGGGAGGTCGTGAAACGATTGAAAAAATGACCATAGACGATAATCCTAGTGGTGCAGTCATGCCATATGTTGGCATGGAGGATTATGGTGATGGTAATATCGTCTTGGGTCATTATCCAGATTTTGGTCGGAAAGAGGTCAGAGATTGGTGGGGTCAACAGTATGAAACTCTTTTCTCATGGGGGTTAGAGTTTGTTTGGCAAGATATGACAACTCCTGCCATTGACAAAACCCGAGGTGATATGAAGGTGAGCCGTAACAAATATTTATTATTAATAAAAAATAAATACGTAAATATAAAATTAAAGTTTATTAACTAATTACTATGCCATTATCAGGGATTTCCTTTCAAACTCCTTGTTACAGATGATTCTTTATCTTCTACAACCCCCACATTAAGCCCTGCTCTTAAAGTATGGAACCTCTTTTCTTACAATCTTCATAAAGCAACATATCACGGTCTTAATCTTCTTCCTAGTCGCGAAGGAAAACGTAATTTTATTATAGGTCGTGGCAGCTTTACTGGTTCTCATCGATTTTGCGGTTTGTGGACTGGAGATAATGCATCAACATGGGATTTTTACCGAATTAATATTGCACAGGTATTTTAAATTTTTTAAATTATTAGAGATGGAATTCGTTATAAGATAATAACGTATTCAATTTATATTTTAGGTATTATCAGTTGGACTTTCAGGACTTTCAATAGTAGGAGCAGATATTGGAGGATTTGCACAGGGTGATGATGGTGGCCATTGGGCTAGTCCTGAGCTAATTATTCGTTGGACAACAGCTGGATCGTTTTTACCATGGTTTAGAAATCATTATGTAAAACATAATAAAAAGTGGTTTCAAGAGCTTTATGTTTTCAAGGATCATCAATATGATCCTGGGGTTACAGACGAACAACGAGTATTCTACCGTGCTGTTCTTCCTGTAACCAGACATTATATAGAATTACGTTACAGACTCATGCAGCTTTGGTATGATTTGATGTGGGAAAATGTGCTTGATAGTATGCCATTGTGTCGAGCAATGTTTATTAATGATCCACAGGATACAGCTCTTTATAATGATAAAATTGATTTTAACAGTAATCAGTTCTTTGTCGGCAAAGATCTTCTTGTAGCACCCATTATGAACCCTGGAGATACTAGACGAGATATTTATTTGCCAGTTACAAATTATTGGTATAGTTTTATGGACAGTATACTTCCATTAGCAAATGCAGTAGAAGGTAGCACAACGGTTCGAGATTTTGATGCACATATCGATAGTGATGATTATTATCATATGGGATTTCATGTTCCAGTATACATTCGTGCTGGAGCTATAATCCCAGAAATTCCTCTAGAACAATGGGTAGGACAACTTCATGAAAATGGTAAACCTTGCAATATTACGCTCAATATTTATCCAGGAAAACAGGGAAATTATACTATGTATTTGGATGATGGTGTTAGTCTTTCTTCAGCTCCGCCTGATGCGCCTCAATATAAATATCTTGATGCAGAAGAAAAAAAATGGGCAAAGGGAGAATATCGGGAAGTAAAGATAGAACATAATCAGTCTGGAATTAATCGTGATATCACAATTTCGAGAGGTAGAGATAATTATACACCTCCTTTAGAAACGTTCTACCGAGTTTCTATATTACATGATCCGTTAGAACCTCGTCAAGGTTCAAATGGACCTTTATTGTCTATTA